TTTTATAATTAAAAATATCACAATCCAAAACAAATAAACTATTTTTACTAAAGGTGAAGTGTCAAATTTGAGAGATTAATGCAATTTGCTAAAGCAGAACCTAAGCCTGATGCACCAATTGCACCAATTTAATTTCCACTTTTTAAATATTGAAGAAATAATATATCATTAAATAGTTAATTAGAAGGAAAAAATGAAGAAAGATATAAATTAAATAGGTATTTCACTTTTGTTAATTAGGAGGAAAAAATGAAGAAAAAAATGAAATAATAAAATTAATTAAAAATTAATAAAATTAACAAAGAATGAAAAAATAAGAAACCATAAAAAAAAGTAAAAGGAAAATAAATCAAATAAATTAAAAGAACTTTAATGTTTTAAATTAACTTTTATAATTAAAAATATTACAATATAAAACAAATTAATAGCTTTTATTAAGTGTAAGTTTTAATAGCAAAAAATGAAGAAAATATATCAAATAATAAAAAATGAATTATAAATAAATAATTAAAAATTTAAATGAAAATTAAGTTAAAATATAAAAAATTTTAGTTTTATCATCAATAAATAATGATGATAATTTGTATAATAAAAATTATTTATTTAAATAAATTGAAATTTAAATATATAAAAAATATTAATAATAATAAAAGTAATTTTTTTAATTAAATATACCTCAGAATAATATCGAGAACCTAATGAGATAAAAGTGAAGAGCTTTTAAACTTTTTTTATTAATTTATATAAATTTAAAGGATATTAGTAAAAAAATTAATAATTACTTCTTCCAAATTATAATATTTTTTAATCTATTATATCATTTATTTATTTTTTCAAAAATATTGAAAAGCAATTTATGAAATTTAATTAATTAATTAATAAATAAATAAATAATAAATGGTTAAAAAGAACAAATAAATATAATAATTAATTAATTAATTGTCAAATATTAATTTATATATTTGGTTTTATGAAGAGATAACAGAAGATTAATTTAACATTCACTATTTAAAATTAATATTTGAATTTAAACATATACTTAAAAATATATATAGTAGGAATTAGAGATGGCCAGTTATTTATTTAGCCATATTTGAAAAAAACCTGTAGTTAATGTTCTTAAATATTATAAAAATAATGTTTATAAGTAGATTTTTCTGTTTTAGCTCTGTAATTTTAGGAATATTTGTAATATTGCTAATTGCAGATTTTTTTTTTTGTAATAGAGAAATAAATAGTGATAGCCTATAACTATTTATCTTTCTAATAGAAATTAATATAATATTAAATAAATTTATATAATAGTATTTTATATATCTATTTTCTTTAAATATTTTAATTAAATTTTATTAAAAAAATAAAAATATAATCAATTTATTTTTGCATTTAAATTATAATAATTGCCAAAAAATATTAATTATGTTAACTTAATATATAAATAAATATTACTTCTTCAATGAATAAAATTTTTAAATACCCAGTAATAAAAGGGTTAATTTTCATACGTTTCTAATAATATCAAAAAAATTAAGATATTTTATTTTTAATTCATTTTAAATTAAGTTAACTTATTCAGTTATTAATAACTAAAATTTTAACAAAATTCTAGATTAATAATACACATAATAATTACCTATTAAAAAATTCTTAATCATATAATAATGTATAAATAAACTAATTTAGATAATTTTTTTAGCTTTTATACAACTCTAATGCCTAATTCTTTGGTTATGCCGTTTGAACTATTTATATTTTTAATTTAATTATAAATATTTGAATTTATTAAAATGTACTTTTTTATAATAAAAAAATGATCAATATAATTTAGTAAAAATTACTTTAAATTTAATACTAGGTATTTAAGATTTTTGAAATTCACTAAACTAGAGCACATTTTTTGAGCTCCTTCATTTCCTAAATGGTTAACTCTTTGAAAATTATAATTACAATTTATTGTTAAGTAATTGAAAATTATTTTAAAAAGTAAAAAAAATCAATTTTAATTACGAGAGAGATATATTTAGTGATTAAAGTAAAGGGAGCTTTTATAAATTAGAGAAAAAGCAAGATATCTTAGAATCGCCAATTTAATTCCAGCTAAATAATTAAATTTTAATTCAAAAATATAATATCTTAACTTTGTATCAATTTAAAAGATTTACTAAAGACCTAATGTCAAATTTATCAATTTTTTACACATTGATAAACCAGATCCTATATCAGATAAGCCTTCATTATTGATTTAGTTTTAACTAATAAATTATTTAATAAATATTTTTATTGAAAAAAATATTTTTTATGTTGAAAGTTAAATTTAATTAACTTAAAAATTAAATCTAAATTATTACTTTAGATCTAATTTTAGATTTTACAATTCTTCATATTATGAAAAAGCATGCGCAAAACCTTCTGTTCCTTTAAGAATAACTTTATTACTGCTAAAAAATAAAATAATTTGATTTTTTTTAAATTAAATAATAAAGCAAGCAATAAGATAACTTACCTGATATAAAGCTCTAAATTCTGTGTTTGTTTAATTTTAGCTAAGCTAGAGCAAATTTGCTTAGCTCCATTGATTCCAATTTAATTCCATCTTTTTCAATTAAAATAGTAAAATTATATTAAATATAGAAAAATTCGATAACAGTAAATTATTTTGAGTTTAATCTTACAATACCAAAAAAATTTAATTATTTATTTGAATTTATTACGAAAAATTTATAGATAATTTTTTAAAACTCAACTATGTTTTAGATAAATTTGAAGCAAAATTAGCAGCACCTTCTTCTTTAATTAGATTTGTACTTTATTTAAATCATAAAAATGATATTTTTTTTACAACTTATGTTAATTTTATTTACTGGATAATAAGATTTAATATTTAGAGGCTAGGGAATTTACATAAAGATTCTCCTATAAGAGAAGCACCTTTATCCCCAATTTAAGTACAACTTTTCATTTAAAATAAAAATTATATTAAAAATAAAAGTTAAACTCAGCTAACATTTTACAATAAAGAAAGAGTTAAAAATTTAAGCTATTAGCATTTTTCTAATTCACAACTTAATTCAAAGCAACCTTCACAGCGTATTGGATTTTCTCTAATTATTAAAAAAATGATTACTTTGAACTTCCTAAAAATTCTCAATTAATATTGGTCGTTTCTGTAAAAAAATTCATTAGATAAATAGTTTTCTTCTTATATTGGTAAATTTTAATATAAAAATATTTTTCTTTGGATAAACAAATAAATAAATATTTATAAATTTCAGTTTGAAATATATTTAATTTATTTACCCAATTTATAAATTCAATTCTTCCAAATATTTACATCCTCCTAACCCTAATCCAATTCCTTAAGCTCCTTTTCTGGAAATTTAGTTTTCGCTTTTTAAAAATATTAAATATTATTTTATTGAGTAAAAAACTCTTCTAATTTTTACTTCAAGTAGATATCTAAATTTTAGAGAATTTAGGAGTTTTTCAAATATTAACATACGTCATGAGCTCCTTAATCTTCAATTTTATTAAAACTTTAAAATAAAACATCAATAATTAACAACTAAAGTTTAGAACTTATAAAAGTTATATGAATTTTAAATGATAAATAAAATTTAAATAAACAAATTTTCATTAATTATTAAATTTGTTTCAAAATATACTTCAGATCAATTTTAATTGTTTGAATTTGTTCCCAATTCTAAAAGATAGTACCAATAATCGCTGCACATTAGTTATCAATAAAGCTTTTACTATTATAAATTTAAGGTAAAATCTTATTAATAAATTTTCACTATTGAAAATTTTTAAATTAATTAATATTTAAACTTAATAATGAATGGAATATTTAATCAAAAGTTATTTTTTTTTTTACGATAGAATAAGAGAGAAATCTGTAATAGTTTTGCATTTCGCTAAGTTTAAACTTAACGCAGATAATCCTTCAGGGCCAATTTTATTGGAGCTTTTTAATAAAATATAATTTAAAGTTAAAACCAACTAATTAATAATACAAAGTATTAAAGCTAATCAAAGAAAATTAAATTGATAATATAATTACCTAATATCAATTGATAATTTGTAGATATTTTTCAAGGAAGGAAAGACTTAGCTCAAATCACAGATTCCTTAGTCTTTTAATTAGTTTTCTCTTAAAAGAAATAATTAGTTAAATAATTGATTAGAAGTTGAAAAGCATCTTGTAACACTATTATAATAAATAAAATACCCTAATTATAAAGTCAGTTCTGTCAGATTTCGACAGTTTAGCAAAGAATCTCTTAATGATAGTGCTTTACTTGAATCAAATCTGCTGTGACTTTTTTACAATAAGGGCATAAGTTTTAATGGATTAGGAAAAACGAATGATAAATAAAGAAGATTTTTTTTAATCTAACTCTAAATATTAAATATTTTTTTACAATAAGTAAACATTTAGGAGTTTATGATCTTCTAAATTAGAACTTTGAAACTTTTATTTAAAAAAATAGTATTATTGAAGGAAATTAAAAAATTATATTCACGCTTTCAAGTGTATTATAATGTTTTTATTCTTGTTTCATTTTATCTTTTTCTTACTGTTTTGTTTTTTTTGCTGATTAATAAAAAAGTAAATATATGAATAATCTTATTTTAAAAACGCGGTTGCTTTCAAATTTAAATTAATTAACAATTATTAAACCAAACAATTAATATTTATTTATAGCAAATATTTTTAAAAATAAATACTCACTGTTTTGATGGTTAAAAACCAATACCAAAATTATTTTAAACTTATTTGATAAAAATCTAAGCTAACTTTTCCAAAATAATTAGAAAGATACATAAAATGTAATTGTATATTTGAGAAATTATTTTTATGTAATTCATATTATTTGTAGAATTTATTTATGAAATTAAGATTTTATAATTAAAATTTAGTAAGAGTAACTTAATAAATAGTTTAGAAATGTTACATTACAAATATTCATTGATTTAAGAAAAATGATATGATTTTTTTTAATATTTCAAAAATAAAATTTTTTAGAAGATTAAAAGTGTTAATTTTTTTTCATATGTTTCTTATAAAATCAAAAAAAGTAAGATTTTTTATTATTTATTTATTTATTTATTTATTTATTTATTTATTTATTTATTTATTTTAAATAAAGGTAATAAATAAATTCAGTTTTTGATCTTTAAAAATATAAACAAAATTCTAGATTAATTTTACACATAATAAATCTCAAATAATTTATTTTTAATCATAAACGAATTTATAAATAAACTAATCTAGATATTTTTTTTAGCTTTTATACAACTCTAATGCCTAATTCTTTGGTTATGCCGTTTGAACTAATTATTTTTTTAATTTAATTATTAATATTTGAATTTATTTAAAATTTTGATCAATATAATTAATTAATTAAGAAATACCCCAAATTTAATACTAGATATTTAAGATTTGTGAAATTCATTAAACTAGAGCATGTTTTTTGAGCTCCTTCATTTCCTAAATGGTTAGATCTTTGAAAATTATTTTTACAATTTATCGTTAAGTAATTAAAAATTTATTTAAAAAGTAAAAAAATAAATAATTAATTAATTTTAATTACGAGAGAAATATTGTTAGTGATTAAAGTAAAGGAAGCTTTTATAAATTAGAGAAAAAGCAAGATATCTTAGTTTAACCAATTTAATTCAAGCTAAATAATTAAATTTTTATACAAAAATATTTTAATTTTGTATCACTTTAAAAGATTTACTTAAGGCCTATTGTCAAATTTATCAATTTTTTACACATTTATAAACCAGAACCTATATCAGATAAGCCTTCATCATTGATTTAATTTTAACTAATATAATTATTTAATAAATATTTTTAGATTATTTTAATATAAGTTTACTTTTTTATACTTTATTTTATTAATAAAGTTAAATTTTTCTATTAATTCTTGGTTGGGAATATTATTTTTTACAAGTTAAATAAAATAAATTTAATTTTAAGTCGAAAATCATTTCAAAATAATTAAGAATGACTCAGATTGTATTTATTTTAAAATAAATGTTAAAATATTTTTAAATTTTTGAATTGAACTTTCAAATAATTAATTAGGTTTTTTATTTAAATATTAACATTTTTGAATAAATTAACTAATTATTTTTAATGTTTTTTATGATGAAAGTTAAATTTAATAAACTTAAAAATTAAATCTAAATTATTACTGTAGATCTAATTTTAGATTTTACATTTCTTCATATTCTGAAAAAACAATTCCAAAATCCTCTGTTCCTTTAAAATTAACTTTACTACCGCTAAAAAATAAAATAATTTGATAATTTTTAAGTTAAACAATAAATGAAGCAATAAAATAACTTACTTAATTTAAAGTTCTAAATTCTGTATTTGCTTAATTTTAGCTAAGCTAGAGCAAATTTGCTTAGCTCCATTAATTCCTATTTAATTCAATCTTTTACAATTAAAATATTAAAATTATATTAAAATAGAAAAATTCACAAACTTTAAATTATGTTGAGTTAATACTTGCAATATCAAAAAAATTTAATTAGGCATTTGAATTTATTACGAAATATTTATTGATAGCTTTTTAAAACACAATTTTGTTTTAGATAAATTTGAAGCAAAATTAGCTGCACCTTCTTCTTTAATTAGATTTGAACTTTAAATCATAAAAATAATATTTTTATTTAAACTTATTGATCATTTTATTTACTGAATATTAAGATTTAATGTTTAGAGGCTTGAGAATTTACATAAAGATTCTCCTATATCAGAAGCACCTTTATTACCAATTTAATTATTACTTTTTATATTTTTAAAATAAAGATTATATTAAAAAAAAGTTAAAGTCAGCTAAAATTTTACAATAAAGAAAGAGTTAAAAATTTAAGCTATGAACATTTTTCTAATTCACAACATAATTCAAAGCAACCTTCACATCGTATTGAATTTTGTCTAATTATTAAAAAAAATTTACTTTGTTACTCCTAAAAATGTTCAATTATAATTTCATGTTTCTCTAAAAAAAAATGAATTTGAAATTATTATATAAATCTGCTAAAAATATTTTGTTTGGATGAGTAAATATATATTTTTAGATTAAAGTTTGAAATATTTTTATTTATTTACCCAAGCTGTAAATTCAATGTTTCCAAATATTTACATCCTCCTAACCCTAATCCAATTCCTTAAGCTCCTTTTCTGGAAATTTAGTTTTAGCTTTTTAAGAATAAATGATTTTATTAAATAAATAACTCTTCAAATTTTTACATCAAGCCGAGATGTAAATTTTAGAGATTTTAGGAGTTTTTCATATATTAACATAGATCATGAGCTCCTTAATCATAAATTTCGTTAAAACTTTAAATTAAAACATCAATAATTATAAACTAAAGTTTAGAACTTATAAAATTAATATATATTTTGAATAATAATTAAAATTTGTCTAAAAATATTTACTTCATATCAATTTTAATTGTTTGAATTTGTTCCCATTTCTAAAAGATAGTACCAATAATCGCAGCAAATTATTTATCTATTTAGCTTTTACAATTATTAATTTAAGGTAAAATGTTATTGATAAATTAAAAACAAAATTTTTTTAATTTCATAAATGAAAATTTTTAATTTAATTAATACTTATAAGCTTAAAAATGAATGGAATAATTTATCAAAAGTGATTTTTTTTATTTACTACAGAATAAGAGAGAAATCTATAACAGTATTGCATTTAGCTAAGTTAGAACTTAATACAGATAATCCTTTAAAACCTATTTTATTGGAGCTTTTTAATTAAATACAATTTAAATTTAAATCAAACTAATTAATAACATAAAATTTTAAAGCTAATAAAAGTAAATTAAATTGATAATATAATTACCTAATATCAATTGATAATTTTTAGATATTTTTCAAGGTAGGAAAGACTTAGCTCAATTCAGAGATATCTTAGTCTTTTAATTAATTTTCCCTTTAAAAAAAATAATTAGATAAATAATTTATTAGAAAATTGAAAAGCATTATGTAACACTATTATAATAAATAAAATACCCTAATTATAGAGTCAATTCTTTCAGATTTCGACAACTTACCAAAGAATCTCTTAATGACAAAACGTTACTCGAATCTAATCCGCTGTTACTTTTTAAAAAATAAAATCACAAGTTTTATTGGATTGGGAAAAAAATGATAAATAAAGATTTTTAATCTAACTTTAAATTTTAAATAAATTTCTTACTATAAGTAAACTGTTAGATATTTGTGATCTTCTAAGTTAGAACTTTGAAACTTTTGTTTAAAAAAAAAGTATTATTGAAGAAAATTGTAATATTCTATGCACGCTTTCAAGTGTATTAAAATATTTTTATTCTTGGATCATTTTTTTTTTTCTTACTCTCTCTTTTGCTTTTTGCAGATAAATAAAAAAGTAAATTTATGAAATAATTTAATTTGAAAAAGAGGTTGCTTTTAAATTCAAATAAATTAAGAAAGTTACTTTATTTGAAATCTCTTTTTTTTTAGGTGTTAATTAACAAGAACTTCAAGTATTTATTTGATTTGATCTTAATATAAAAAATAAAATAATTTTTTAATTTTAAATGAAATATTATTTGTTCTAATTAAATTAAAGATTGATCATACTTATAAATAATTAATATATAGCTACCTCGTAATATTTAAAATTTTTAATGCCCTAATTGTCATTACTTTGTTTAATAAAAAGTTTCAAAATTAAGCAAATTTAAGCTATGCTAATCTGTCTGTCTGTCTGTAAACTGTCAGATTTAATTAAATTCTGTAATTTTTTAGACTAATATTTTGATAAAAGATTAGATACATATGAATATACTTTTGGTAATAAATACTCAAAATAAGTAAATTTTTAAAGCACATTAGAAAATTTTTTTATTAAAGAAAAAGTAGAGAAAAAATTTAGAACTAATTTACAATAATTAAATTTAAATCTGGTGATTTTGAAATCTTTTAAAAAAAATTAATTGTAATATAACATAATTTATCAGTAAATTCAAGTAATGCTTTTTTTTAAATTTATTACTACTTAATTTTTAGAATAAAAATATCAAGATTAAACTAATAAAATTATTTCTAATCAATATTTATTTATTTTTAGGTAGTAGAAATTTAATATTTTCCTTATAAAATGCTTTTCTATTGCTTATAAAATAGATATTTTTAATCATATTTAGTTACTTATTTTTCTTTTTAATCCATCAAATTTTTTGTTATTTAAATACTAAGGTAATTTAATAAAAATTTTATATTTAAATTTAAGACTAAAAAAATTTTTGCATAAATCTATAAAATGAAATACTCTAAATATACAGGTTTGATATAAGCTGCTTATTTTTTGACAATTTTAAAAGTTTCTTTAAGTTAAGAAAATACAAAATCACAATTTATCAGTTAAATAAGCTAAAAAAGTGAAAGCTCAAGTTATTATAATTAGTTAAGTGGTAATATTAAAGATGAAAGCATGTAAATTACTTAATTAGATCAAGATTTAGAAAAGAAAAATGATGATTTATAGTTACTCAGAGATAACGGAGCATTTATAGGATCTTTTCTATCTATTCTCATTACTGAAATAGGAGATAAAACTTTTGTAATTACTGCAATTTTAGCAACTAAATATGATAAATAATGGGTTTTCTTAGGTAGCTTCGGTGGCTTGTTCTTAATGACCCTTATTTCTTGCGGAATAGGTAAGGCTTCTCTATCTTTTATAGACTAAACATATATAAAATTGTTAGCTTCAGCTTTATTTTTTGGATTTGGTGGTAATGCCATTTATGAAGCCTTAGCAAATAAAATTGATGATGAATAAAATGAAATTCAAAATAATCTTAAAGAACTATAAGAAAAAATAAATGCAAAAATTTAAAGTAATATAGCTGAATGCAGCGATGATTTAGAATATTAAGATATTGATGATGATGAGCCAAAATCAGATGAGTAAAATTAATTAGAAACCAAATAGCTTTAACAAAGCTCTTTAAATGAGCAGGAAAAAAGAAATAGGAAGAATGCTAGAATTATTCCTAATACATTTATTGCAACACAAACATTCATTTAAACTTTTTTAGGAGAGTGGGGTGATAGATCTCAAATATCTACAATGGCTATGAGTACCTCATTTAATTTAATGCAAGTTTTTGTAGGCTGTATTTTAGGACATACTTTATGCTCTTATTTAGCTATAACAGGAGGTAAAATGCTTGCTGAAAAATTTTCTGAAAGGATATTAACATTAATTGGAGGAATACTGTTTATTATTTATGGTTTTTTGACTTTGACATCTATATGAAATTTAAATCCATTTGTATTTTTATTGAGATTTTAAACCAAAATTCAAATCATAATTTTCTTTTTATTATATTTTTTTAATTTGAAATTAAACAATTAGAAAAAATTTAATGAGTAAACATTTTAAAAAAAAGTTATTATTAAAATACTATAAATCCTCTTTATTTTTTAATTTCTTATAACCATAAATTTTAGAAATACTTTTTAAAAAATTACAAATTTTCAAAAAATCTGCCTTAATTAAAATTGCCTTAATATATGACGATTAAGAGTATATTAAAAATTATTGGCCTTTCAATGCTTTTTTAACTCTAAATATAAAAATAAATAAATAATTTTGTTTAAGAAGTATATAATAAAGTGAAAAATGCAAATATATATTTAAGTAAAGCTAAAAACTAAATCAATTAGAATGCAATTCTTAAAGATATGTATGTATCAAGTTATTTATAAGAATTAATTCTGAGAACAATAATTTTTCTCTTCCTTCAAATTTGCTATTCACAGAGGAATAAAAGTCTAATAGTTGTTTTGTTTTTAAAATTTCAGTTATTTTTTAGATTTGAGATTGCTCTTGCTCAGTAAATAGTTCTACTTAATCTTTGCTTTTTATTACCTTAAAAACAATAAAAATTTGATAAATTATACTTTTCATATAAATTATTTTTATATTTTAGATACAGTTCAATTTAACTAGCTTTTCAACATAGCTTTCATCTAAAAAGATCTTTTTACATAAATCTCTTTAGTAAGGGAATAGATTTTTCAAATTAAAATCACTCCCTAAACAAGTATATTCCTCTTTAGAATCAGAAAACTTACTAGTTACAGCTATTAGTTTTTCTAGTATATCGAATGAATTATATCTTAAAATATGTCTAGTATAAAATTTTTGTTTAAATTCATCTAAAAGAATGATTTCTTAACTTTCATCTTGGTTTTTAGTTTTTTGACAAACGCCTTAAATATATTTTTCAACAATATTCGTTTAGTAGATTTACTCTGAACATAGTTGTAAAACATCTTTAATATACATTTTGCTATCTTTTTGTAAATTAATATTGGTAATTATAAATTCTTCTATATTTTTTTGAATGAGGGCCTTTCCTTCGTTTTTTTCAGAAGCAACTAGTTCTGGGAAGTATAGCTGGTAAGAATTTGCGAAAACGTTAAAGAAAGGTATGGAATCAGCTATTTATTAAAACAATATAGTTGAATTAGAGTTTAAATTTAACTATTTTATTGGATTAATCTCCTATCCTTGCATTTATTATCTTAATTAAGACAAATACCCTTGCACATATTAACTTAATATGTGTTTGCCATTTTTTTTGTAATCCTATTCATCTTCTAACAAGATGATGGAATATGTTAGATTTAGAAAGTCATAAATTCTGTATTTACAAGAAAACAGAAAATCTTCATTAGCTCTTGAAAGTTCTTTATAAAAGTTCGCTTGTTATTAATTTTAGATAAATTAATGGTATAAAAAAATTAGTTAATATAAATTGATATCTTAATTAAATGTTTAGAAACTTCTAGATATCATATGAAGACTTTAAAAGAACTTTTGTTTGCTTGATTCGTTATCAAATTCAAAGTGTTTTTTAAAGAAGCTTGAAATTACTTCTTTAGAAAATAGTTTCCTCTCTGATAGAGCAACTAGGAGAGGTAAATGACTTATAAGTGTGATTGAAGATGTGCAGAATTATTTGTTTTCTTATGTTTTTTAATCTAAAAATTACCTTGCTTTGATTACAGTCTACTTAAATTCTTAAATTAAAATTGGGAAAATGTTATTTGTAAGCTTTTCATCATTAATAAGCAACAATCCTTCACAAATGTTAATATAACAATATAGAACATGCTTTTCAAGTTATCTAAACTGTAAAAGAGTACAAACAAATAAAGGTATATACTCCTCTGGATTCTCACTTGTAGTTTCAAAAGAGTTTACTTTGAATAGAACAAAACTCAGAAGATGGAGTTTACTTATAAGCTCATTTGGATACTTTTAGAGTAATACTTTAAGCTAATTAACGAATCTAAACATTTCAAAGGCGATATTTAAGAGGATATATTAAACATAGTCCAATTCCGCGATACTTCTTTACTTTTTTTCTACCCACTCTATTAAGAAATTAAGTGGTTCAAAGATTCCTACACCTAAACTATCAATTAAATGGTTAAAGACATTATTGAGACAAATAAACTCTACTAGTATAAATGAACAGGATGGTAAATATCCTTCATTGACTATACCATAATTCTCAACATTTGCATTTTATTCTCTCAATGAATATCTAAAAGTCTTTATGAAAATCTCACAAAACCTTTAGCTAAAAATCTCATCAACTTTAATAAGAGCACGAAATGTATCATTGATCAACTAGTCATTTTAATTATCAATAAATTCATACAAAAGAAAAATGTAATCTAATATACTCAATTCATTATTTATTTTCTTGTCTTTATTTATTTTCCTTACCCACTTATAATCAGTTGAGTCGTGTTGCTTTTCTTTAACTAATTCTAAACCGATTGGCTTTGCTAGATGCTTTAGTAAAATACTAGGCATAAAGTGAATTGAAGGAGGATTTAACTCTATTATTTCATTGATTTTTTTAAAAATCAACTCAACTATTAAATTAATCCTTTCAGTTTGAGTAGTTAATTATTCTTACTTAATTTTCTTTTGGCTTTTTCTCAAATGCAATTCACACATACTCTCAAACAGAAGATGGAAAACATCTAAGAAAAATTTCTCCACTCCATTCCATAGCCCTTAATTTTACTTCTATTCTTCCTCAAAGATATCTTTTAATTTCTCATATCCTTAATGATCAGAACAAAAATGTTCTTTATCCATAAAGCTAGATTGCCCACAATGGCACTTAAAATCGCAGCTCACTCCTGAATCATATTTTACAAATTGATGGTTTTTATGCTTCATAAAAAAGCAATCTTCACATAAAACGAGATAAATTTGATCTTTTTCAGCCACTTTATGAGTATTTTTAAGTTCTTATCTAATTGGAGAACAATCCAAGCATTCATAATAAATTGCTCCATTACCAAACCCTTTACCGCAGGCCCCTGACTATTTTAAACTTTCAATATCTTTGTATTAAAGTTTTTCTGAGAAAATCATATCAGGATCCTTTTCATCATGGGTAGCAAAATTAAGCATTTAGTCAAATCTGAGATTCATATTGCTCAATTAAAATTGATCGCAACTAAAAACATCGTATTTAAAAGAGTGAAGCATCTTGTAATATCTTTGTTGGACACTCAAATTCCTTCTAAAAAAATATAAGTATACACCTGCAGCTATTGCAGCTCCACCTATAGATAATAATCCTATTTTGTATTGGTTCTTCATTTTCTTTTTATGCTTAAATTTAATTTTAAATAAATTGCCTAAAATACTTATAAATAAATTAATTAATTAGTTTTAATTTCATTTATATCTTATTTGATCAGAAATAAAGATATTGAATAAAATCCAAAAGCTAACTCTTAATTGATTAATTATTTTATTTTCTCATGAAGTACTTTTCTATATTCAAATAAGTTAGCTATATTTTTTAGAATAAATAGAATTCATTTTATTATCCGTTTTTTTGAAATTAAAATAAAATGATTGCTATTTAAAAATAGTTTTTAATCTATTTATTTTCTAAAATATTTGAATATAGATAAAAAAATTTGAAAAGAAATATCAAAATATTATATATTAACCAATTACATAAATTTTTTTCTAGTTCTAGTAGTTTATCATGGAGTAATAGAGTAAATGATAATGCATTATCCAGTACAACTTTTAATTAAAAATTAGCTGTTCTATAAAATCAGCTAGATTTAAGTTTAAAATTATTTATGAAGCACTCAGATTTTCAAACACTTTAAATTTGTTAAAAGATTTAATTTACCAGGTCTTTTATAAAAATAAATTCTGGATTTTTCTACAGTAATTTTTTTAAATTCAGATGTGTTACTAATTTAAAAATTTAATTTTAAGACAAATAAATAATTAGAGAACATTTTATAATAAAAAATAAGATAAGCATTTTAAAATTTATAATACCACATTAAAAAAAATTACATAAATTCTTGATATGAAATAAGCTTATAAAAAGCCAAATTCAATATTAACGGCTTTTAAATTCATTAATTTACTCTAAATATTATTAAATAAAAAATCAAATTTGTATTGTCTGAATGAATAAATGATAATTTAAAAAACAATTATTTTATGATTAAAAAATATAAAATGAAAAAAATGATCATAAGATAAATTAAAAATTTGAGAAAAAAAGAAGAAAAAAACATTAAAACAACTAAAGTTAAAATAAAAAGTAAAACTTGATTTCTCGCTGAGATTTTATTTAAATCATGGCATCTAATTAATCATGATAAATAAAAAAGGATAGAAATATGATTGATGGATAATATTTAAGATTAAAATATAACTGGCATATAAAAGTTTGGCATTTATATAATTTAATAGGATGTAATATTACACTAAAAGTTTCAAATTATTTGATTGTTTTTGGAGAAATCAGAGGGTCTACTTATTAGGATTTAATTTATTTAAGTAAATTTTATTTTTTTATTATTTACAAATAATTTATTTACTTACAAAAATATGAATGATATTTATAAATATAAAATCAATAATAAATTCTATTTATCTATCTATTTATATTTTAGGTTAAAAATACTCTTTCAAAATATTATATAATAAAATATATAATACTATTCAAAAATTTTATATTTATTCATCCTTTTTTCACCAGTTGTTTATCAATAGAAATAAATATTAAAGACAACTAATCTTTTTGATTTACGACACTTGCTAAGTAATTTGAATCTTTATGATATATTATTCATTGAGCTAAAAATTTTAAAATAAATTAGTGTAAATTTTAAAATAAATATCAAAATAGAATAAACTTTTAAATTAAAAATTATTTTTTTAAATATATAAATAAAATAATATTAGTGGAATAAAAAAGATAAAAAAATAAAATAAATAAAAGCTATCAAATAAATTCAATGAGCTTTTTTGTTTTTAATTAGTTTTTATAATTAAAAATATCACAATCCAAAACAAATAAACTATTTTTACCCAAGGTAAAGTGTCAAATTTGAGAGATTAATGCAATTTGCTAAAGCAGAGTCTAAGCCTGATGCACCTTCATCACCAATTTAATTGTAACTTTTTAAATATTGAAGAAAAAATATATCATTAAATAGTTAATTAGAAGGAAAAAATGAAGAAAAAATATGAAATAATAAGAAATAAATAATAAAAGCAAAAGTTGAAAATAAAATGATGAGCTAAATTAACAAAGAAAGAACAAAAAAAAGCAAGCACAATAAAAAGAAAAAGAAAAAAGAGCTTTATTGTTTTTAATTAGTTTTTATAATTTAAAATATCACAATCCAAAACAAATAAACTATTTTTACTCAAGGTGAAGTGTCAAATTTGAGAGATTAATGCAATTTGCTAAACCAGAACCTAAGCCTGATGCACCAATTGCACCAATTTAATTATAACTTTTTAAATATTGAAGAAAAAATATATCATTAAATAGTTAATTAGAAGGAAAAAATGAAGAAAAAATATGAAATAATAAGAAATAAATAATAAAAGCAAAAGTTGAAAATAAAATGATGAGCTAAATTAACAAAGAAAGAACAAAAAAAAGCAAGCACAATAAAAAGAAAAAGAAAAAAGAGCTTTATTGTTTTTAATTAGTTTTTATAATTAAAAATATCACAATCCAAAACAAATAAACTATTTTTACTAAAGGTCAAGTGTCAAATTTGAGAGATTAATGCAATTTGCTAAAGCAGAACCTAAGCCTGATGCACCAATTGCACCAATTTAATTTTTACTTTTTAAATATTGAAGAAAAAATATATCATTAAATAGTTAATTAGAAGGAAAAAATGAAGAAAAAATATGAAATAATAAGAAATAAATAATAAAAGCAAAAGTTGAAAATAAAATGATGAGCTAAATTAACAAAGAAAGAACAAAAAAAAGCAAGCACAATAAAAAGAAAAAGAAAAAAGAGCTTTATTGTTTTTAATTAGTTTTTATAATTAAACATATCACAATCCAAAACAAATAAACTATTTTTACCCAAGGTCAAGTTTCAAATTTGAGAGATTAATGCAATTTGCTAAAGCAGAACCTAAGCCTGATGCACCTT